AAACTCAAGCACAATTTATAAGTAGGAAAAAAATTATGGGCTAAATTATTACTCCTTTTAGCCATATGGGGAAGAATGGAAAATAAACACAGCTCTACTTTTTTAACTAAATATACTTAGGTGTACATACACCTGTATGTACAGATATAAAAATAATTTTGTAATTATGTTTATATATCTTTCTGCGTCAACCACTGATGGTTTTGTGGTACAAGCAATAACTGAAAATATGCCTATCTTCTCTATCAGTAAGAAAAGACATTAAGTTGTTCTCCAATGTACACCAACATTGGTGAAAAGAACCAAATTATACCTTCAAAAGGCTCAATAACTGTCAGAAATGTTTTTCTTTTACAAGAAAAACTATACAATATGGTCAGAGAAAGGAAGTTAGTACCATTATGTTAGCATGGATAAGGAAATCTGTCATGGTCCAGTTGTATCGTCTGCAGTGGAGATACACTTTCTACTTATTTTAGTCACTCTTCATTCAAAAAAGACAATAGGAATGTAACAGCTTGTGTTTAAAATGCTAATTCACTATCATTTGAACCTGAATTGCATTATCAAATCAATCATCTTCTTGATAGCTCAATAAACAGGATTGCTGCTATTCTGGTAGAACAAAATGCCTACATCTCTACCACAATCCACTGCCTCACAAGCATGATGAAAATAGTAATTTTATCATTCTGGTAAGACAAGAGTTAATGCTCAGTCCTCTGACTTGAGCCTTACAAGATCTGCATGTCCAAGAGTGGATTTAAAAAAAAAAGGTTTTATTCCTTGCAATAGAAAATAACACTTACTGATATTTAAAAGCAAAATATCCATGTGCAATTGTCAACACAAACTCTAGTATTAATTTTCTAGATGGTAAGGTAATTCAAAGTTTCATGAGATATAATACACACCACAGCATTAAAAATCTAAGACTATACAATCTTAGTGTTTTAACCAGGACCCTTTTCATATTTCTTTACTAATGAGGGAGATTCTTTAACTGAGTTTCAGCAAACGTAAGTATAAATGAGGGCTTTGAAAAATCTTATCACATCCGGTTATTTAGGGAGCCAATCATAATAGCACTTTTCATGAAAACAAGAGGGGTCTTTACTTAAACTCATGGTAAGATACTCTCTTTGTGCTGCTTTTAACTCCTGAAATACACCCTTCACATGAAACAATTTATTTTAAAAACCATCTAACCAGTTTCCTAGAGTAACCCCATCCCCAGAATCTGACTCCTCCTCTTGGTAGCATTTAGTTTCCCTAGTGTTATGTGAGAGTGGTAAAGGAGAGAAAAACAGAATGAGGATCATGCCAGTCCAAACTGCCTCTGACAGTCCCTCAAGCATCCATATAGGCCCTCATTTCTCTCGAGCCCACAGTTACTCAGTGTGTGACCCTGGGAACTGTAGCATCAGCATCACCAGGGAGCTTGTTAGAAATGCAAATGTACAGCTCCACCCCAGAGCAACTGGATCAAACTCTGGGAAAGTGCCCAGCAACTTGCAGTTTTAACAAGCACAACAGAAAACTACAATGTATGCTAAAGTCAGAGAACAAGTCCGCCACAAACTTTAATGTGCATGAGAATCACCTGGGGAGCTTGTTAAAATGCAGATTCTAATTCAGGGGGTTGAGGTGGGGCTTGGGAGCCTACATTTCTAATAAGTTCCCAGGTGATGTCTTTTATGGGCCACATTACAAATGTTTCCTAAATCGGTTCTTTGCCAAAATTACTCAAGATGCTTATAAAATATGGAGAGTGGCACTACCCCAGATCAAATTAATCCAAATCTCAAGAGAAAAAGCTAGAAAGTATCCAGCAGTTCTCCATTCCAACTACACATTAAAATTACCTGGGAAGATTTGAGTAATTCTGATTCCCAGGTCCCATCCATGGTCGACTAAATCAGGATCTCTGGGGATAGAGTGCAGGTTTCCACATTTTGAATACCTTCCCAGTGATTCCGATGTGCATCCATGGTTGAGAAGGAATGTTCTGGAGTCTGGTTCAACACCTGACACAGTGGAACCTTTATAGCAGCCAACGTATTCGTCTAAAGTGGCTTATGTGAGCTTCCTCACCTGTAAGTGCTTTGATTGTTGAACAGGAAAATGTACCTAAAATTATGGTTTCCTTGTGTCTTGAATCTTATTTTTGGAGGAAAAAAATGTGCTCTCTGCAATGGTTAGTATTCAAAAGCCAGGAGCAACCTTGAAGTATTTGTGTCTACGTGGCCTTTCATACGATGACCTCTTTCTTCCCCAACCCTGAAACACATAAATAATTGAAATTTCTGATGACCTTTCAGAGTGGCAGGGTAACAGATGTATCTGTAACTTCTAAACCTATAAAAGTCAGATTCCACCAGTTACAGGCATTCTAACTGAAAGGTCTAGACAGAGATGACAACACTGTGCTTTTACATATGACAATTTGAAATTGTCATAAGCACGTCTTCGGGTAGACAGGAAAATTTAAAAAAGACCTTAAACATACTGTCCATAAAATGATACCCATACGTCAGAGGGGATGGGGCCATACAATGCCACACTAATAAGCACACAATATCATCAAATAGGTAAAATGGAGAAATGTGTGGTGTTACCAAGGCACTGTGAAATAATCAATTATTTCCTTCCCACAATTAAGAGTTTCTTGAATTTGACATCATACATCTTAAAATTAGTTTAAATGAAAATGAGACGCAGTCCTTCATCCTCTGGTTGTTGAGGTTCAGCGCCTTCTATAAACTAGTTCGTCTATAGAAATGTGACATACTGAAAGCCTACTAACCATTCACACCACCATCTCAACACACTCACAGTGGTCAGATGGGTGTCTTATTTATCTGCTTAATAACTTGAAAGGCAGAAAATCAGCAACTAGAGTATTTAAAAAAAGAGAAACAACCTATGTATGTGTGCAAAGTGGCCACTGTTTAAACCATTTTTAAAGCATTTCCTTTATGAACTGGTCAAGCTCATTTTCCTCTTAACTGTTGCTATAGTCATTCAGTGAACCCAAACTCACTTTAAAATGTGCGAAAATAGCACCTCCTGAAAGTGTGTTCTCATATGCTTTGGAGCAATGGAGCGTGAATGCTAAAACAGCCTTTGCCAAACTCAAGTAATAGCTCAAGAACTGAACAGGAGTAAATTTTTACAGTCCCATGACTTTACAAAGCCAACCTAAGAATTACCCCAGGTCTAGCTTTTACTACATCACAGCCATCCAAGAGAAGGCAAAAAAGAAAAAAAAAGTCACAAATAAGTGACTTGAACTAGTATTTCATAGATTTTTTTTAACATGGCAATCCTTTTAAAATGAATTTTACTTCTTAATGAAAAAATAAATAGACCAAATAAAGGTGTAGACTTAGGATTTAAGCTCCTAGAATGAACACTAGGAAATTTATAGAAGTACTTAATTCACTTGACAGTGTCCACCTGGACGCCTTTTCATACATTTCTCATGAACTGATGCCCAAAGATGAACCAAATCTAAAGAAATGCACAGAGCATAGCAGAGTCATACAAAATTAAAAACATTTAAAGAATGAAAGCAAAGAAAACAAACAATACAAAGGCACAATTTCCAGGACACTTTATTGTAATTTTCACTTTACATATTAATTTAATATTTTAGTCGAGTCAGGCGTGTTTATAATCATCCAGTGGTAGTTCATTCCTCTAATCTCACAAAATGAAAAGCAGCAAGTTAAAAAGAACATCAATTCAGGTATTTACGCTGTGGGAAACAAGGGGCCCTTAGGCAGAAGGGAGGGGGGCGTTGATGGTTGTCAGTTTGAGGGTACTGAAATTTGTTTCTGTATTTTTCTTGTGGATGTTAGTAGTCATAATAGAAACAATCGTCCTTTTCCCCATTCTGCCTTCTTGTGGACTTTACATTCTGTCTAGCATTTAACTCAAAGTCAGTTTACACTCAGTTTACACATTTTTAAAGACAAGCCATATGCCCCATCTCCCACACATCCAAATGGACAGAGATTAGAAAGTAACCTGGCTTTTAGCTTGTAACAGTGCTAGTTTAAACAATTTCAACCATATACTTGAAGGGTAAAATAACGTAAAGTACAAAAACCAAAGGAAATTGTAAAAGTGCCTACACATTTACTGGACTGTTTAACTGTTCCTCCAATCATTGAGTTTAACATAGGTTGCTTAAATTGAAATCGACACAAAAGCGCAAGCACGCTTAGTACAAATTGACAGTGCCTTCTGGGGGGACAACGTTCTTTGAATGTGCTATACCAGACACTGGAAGGAAGAAGAAAAAAGGTCTCACTCACTCTTCAAATGTGAGGAAGCCGGTGGTGCGCTAGCTTCACTAGAAACACGTTTTAATGGGTACGTTCAGTTAAAAATAGGTAGGAAGCCAAAAGGTGTTTTAAGAAACCTCTCCCCTCCCCAAGGAACAGGGAAACCCGGAGGAAAAGATGGGCAACCTCCCTGGAGCTCAGGAGCTAAGTTCCATCACTAGCTGAATAGAAGTTAGATCACTGCTATTTTTCACCCCGCAATGGGATAGTAGCTCTCCATGTGCAAGGTACGCGGGGCGGGAATACTCGCGGGGCTTTCACGTGGGGTAAGGGCGAGCAAAGTGAGGAGAGGTCGGTACCAACAGTGATCCAGAGCTCCCAAAACGCTGGTGGGGTGGAGGGTGAGGGGTAGAAAGGATCGAAGGAAAGGGTCAAAACTCCTGGAAGTTAGCGCAAAGAGGAAGCGGAGCAGTCTGGAAGCCAGGGGGCCATGTCTGGCAAGCAGCCCCCTGCTCCAAGTGTGGGGTGCTCGCCTCGTGGAGCAGAGGAGCGCCGAGTGCCCCTCGGGTCGGGCGGCTCTGGGGACCCGAGCGGCGAGAGGGGCTGAGGGGCACCCGCGAGCAGGAGGCGGAGGACTTGCACTTTGCCTCAACTCTGAGCCCCATCCCGAGCCCGGGGGAAGAGGGCGACGGGGAGCGCGGTACTCACTAGGGCTCGTTGGTGAAGCGGGGGGTCCGGGGCTGCTGATATCCATACAGGTGACAGTAGAGCACATCGAAGCAAAAGCAGCACATCTCCGCTGACACCACCATCTTCCGGGAGCCCGGGGATGAGGACGAGGAGGACGGCGAGGAGGCGGTGGCGGCGGCCGGAGTAGAAAGTAGGGTTCCCACTCCGCAGCTCAGAGGTGGAGACAGCGAGATGCCCCCGCCGCCGCCGCCGCCGCAGCCCTGGGGGGGAGAGAGGGTACAGCCGCCGCCGCCGCCGCCGCCGCTCAGCCCGCCCAGCCCGTTGAGCCGCGTCCCGGCGCCTCCTAGTCCCAGCTCCCCGGCTCGGCACTGGCTCTCCCCGCTGCAGTGGGAGGAGGAGGAGGCGCCACCACCGCCGCCCGAGCCAGAGGGGGGCGAACTGGACAGTTTCTGCTTCTTCACCCCACAGCAACCCGCCGCCATCTTGGAACAGTCTCCCCCACGCAGCGCTTCCGACCCATAAGTGAGGCGAGCTGGCGGCGGGGGCGAGCACGCTGCGGCCCCGGCCGCCGGGGGCGCGCCGGGGGCTCGCGGTCTGCGCGCGCGCGCGCGCGCGCGGCTCGGCGGCCGGGCTGCCCGGCCCGCCGCGGCTCGGGCGTGCGCGCGCCCCCGCCTGCGGCGCGCGCCACGAGCTCTCGTGGCTTGGCGCCTACGGTGGGTCCCGCCCGGCTCGCGCCTCTTGGGAGCTTGGCTCCTGGAGAGGAGGATGGAAGACGGAAAAGCAAAGGGGAAGGAAAAAAAAAAAAGAGAACAAGCCAGGGAGGAGTAGGAGGAAAGAGAGGAGGTGGGCAAGCTCCAAGAGGAAGCAGAGAGACAGAAACTAGTGGAGGGGGGAAAGAAAGAAAAAGTCTGAAATAAGCATCCAAGTTCCAAAGCACACCTTGGTGATACCCCATTTCATGTAGGGTTAGTGACACTGGAGCCCAGTTAGGTGAAACCTGAGCCACCGGCCTCAGATACACTGGTTCTGAACTGTTGGGAGTGTGAGCAAGCAGGCGCTCCCTGGAGCTCCACACCTGAGACAGCCACTGTAAAGAATGTACAAAGCAGTCCGGGAAATGGCCACGCTGTGGTGGTGTTTTTAATGCTAACCTAACCAGACACCACGGTTGTTCTGAGATTATGTTAGAAATGCAATATTTTTCTCTTTCCTAATGGACAAATAGTAAAGCCCAATTCAATCAGCATATCTTGTACTTGTTCCCGCCATCTTCTCCTCGTAGTCCAGGAAGAACATTTAAAAGCAAAAATAAATATATAAATAACTGCCTCACGAACCCCTCACAGATTCAAATATGTTCGTTGTGTTTTCAGACTTGTAGCTGTGCGCTTTTCAGATTTGATGTTTGGGACATGAGAATAAAGAAATTAGAAATATATCTGTAATGTCCAGACCTTACAGATAAATATATTGGTCAGGTAGTGTACTTATTTATAAGTTAGAAGATTTTGTTCAGATGTATAATGAGATAGTTCTTAATTCTCATTTTAAAAATGGTCTCAAAACTGCTTGAATGAATGAGAAGGTGTACGATTGAGTCAATCCCATTCCGGGGGCTTAAGAAGGGGCTATAAAATGGCAATATTCAGGGGGAAATATTCATTTAAAAAACGAACCTGATAAAAAGAAAATAAGTGATATCCATTGTGTCTACACCATGTCAAAATAGCCCCACAAAGTCAGGAGTCTGTCTGTATGTAAACTGTAGAAGATTGGTTTTGGCGCCTTTAGTGTGGAACCTTACAAACAGCTGAGAGCATTTCATTCCACTCGAGGGGGGAGAAAGGAGAGGTTTATTTGCATACCAGACATTGAGCCTCTATGCACATCCTAGTGCACTGCTGTTAAAAACTGACATGTGCAGAAAATATGTATCCTTTCCACTCTTACACTTATAAATTAAGTCAGATCTGCCTATATGATCAGAAAAATTGCAACTATTAAGCACTTTTTAGGTGTCAGTGTTATACCTATCTTACACCATCAATCTAGAAAATAGTGTATCACCTCATTTGATCTTCACAGGAAGAATTTAAAATTTACTTAAGAGTTAAAACTCTTAAGTACCTTGTCCAACATTAGACACCTGGAAAGGGACAGAATCAGGATTTAAACACAAGCATGTCCCATTCTAAAACCTATGTCACAGGGCTGAAGGTGTAAATGGTCAGTGGTAGATTGCTTGCCTAGCACGTGCATTGACCTGGGTTTGATCCCCAACATCAGGAAATAAACAACTAAAAACTATGATGTTATGCTACACTAAGTAATGTTATAGTTTTATGTTATAAAACACTATGATGTTATGCTTAGCCACAGTACATAATTTTAAAAAAGTAAGAAAAGAAAGTGACATTAAAAACTCTAGTAGAGTAGTACCAGGGTTAAACAGAAAGAACTTTGTTTTTATGGATTGAAAGATTGAAAAACACTGAAATATGTTACCGAGAAGGAAATGCACTAAAAAAAAAAATACTGTATGAAATGGACAGGCAACTGGAATGGTTAAATGCTGTCTACACACCCCCCCCCCCCAACACACACTATTTAAGTTGGATAGAGTGGCAAATACCTGTAATCCCAGTACTCAGAAGACTAAAGCAGGAAAAAATCACAAGTTCAAGGTCTACACAAGCTACTTAGCAAAGACATTGTGTCAAATAAAATCAGACGAAGGAGAAGAAGGAGGAGGAGTATAGGGTGAAGCAGGGGAGAAGGAGGAGGAAGATTTAACTGGTTTCTGATAAAGAAGGCAAAAAATAGTGTCAGCTACTATCAGAGTCAAAGTGTGTCAATTTTTTTGCCATGTTGAAAAAGAGAAAACAAAGTACTTTAAAAATTAAGAGAACTATAACTGATACACTGTGTCTTTTGGTTTGCTTTGTACTTTATCCTACATATGAGCCTACTTTTTGGAACTGAATCATCATTATACCTTGGATACATGTACTGAATCCCTTAAATAAGTACAAATACTGCATTCCTTAAATAGGTACAAATATTATACTTCAATTAAACAAATTATTTTTAAAAGAAAAAATAAAATCACACTGGTATGAAAAAATGACTATGTTACCTAGCTTGCCTATGGTGATTATTTCATAATATATACATATTTTAGGAGACATCAAGTTTCAAACCTGAAATAAATACTCTTTGCTTGTCAACTATACCTCAGTAAAAGTGGGGGAGCTATATTAAATACAATATTATACTGCAGATGTCAATTTACTCCCCACACCCCCCAAAATGAGTGCACTTGTGGAGTAGAAAACCTGAACCATTTAGTGGCATCACACCACAAAGTAGGGTATCATGGGCGTTGCTTCTGCTGAGGGAATTTAAGAAAGCAGAATGTAATCTCCCAATTTAGAATTTGGCCAGTAGACAAGAGTCTAACGCCCCTACTCTTGTGAAAATAGCAAGGAATCTTTAATAAGCACCAGTAGTCATGTCCTCAGTTCTGCATTTCATCTAAAAGATAAAACACTATCGTGGCTCTCTTGCCAGGCTAAGGGACTGACTGATGCAATGGGAAACCCAACAACAAGGACACTCCAGCTGAATTACAAAAATAGCTTTTTCCCCAAGGATTTTTACTTCCAACCTCGAGTGTCACTATCACAAGGAAAACAGACAAACACAAATGTGATCATTGCAGAAAATACATCATTACCTGACCACTAGGGCTTACTCGTCTGGAGTCCTTTGTTGTACTGGTTTGTTGAAATGAGGGGAAATAAATTGTAAACTTTTTCTGTGTGCTAACCTCGAACTTAGCTAGCTCATGGTCCAAACTCACCTTGCAAAGTCACTAGCACAGAAACAAACACATATAGATAGATATAGATATGTACATGGATATCATTCAAACATGAAATCTACAAAATAAATTCTGTATCTCTATATAAATTGCATACTGAATAGGAAAATGACCATGATCAGGATTCTCTTGACTCAAAGTACAAATGTCAAAGTAAGATAGTGTGGTGTTTCTACCCTCTGCTGATCCTGGAGTGCAGTGATAATACTTTCCAGAGGAACCTTTTGCTCATTGTAACTCACTGAGAGCTAAAGATTCCACATTTCTCTTAAGTAATAAAAAGAAAGTAAATAAGCCACCGACTATCACCATTCAAACTGGCCATTCGAATTGAAACCATCTCCGCTTGTGCAGGCATCTGCCTCCAAGTTGCTATTAACCAACTTGTCAAACATTTTGTTTTTACAACAGTGGAAAAACTGGTCAGAGAATATGCACACCGCTTACTATGAGGTAAACTAAAATGAATTAAACTCGATGGCTACTGATTATTTTACTGTTGCCTCAGTTTATTCTCACATTTATAAGGTGTTTTTCACTTTAGAAAACAAGAGTAATTATAATTTGATGCGATAGTGAACTTCATAATGTTGCAAAAATTATTCTTAGGTTTCTGGAGTCTATGGTAAGCTGAGAAGCACTCGCAATTGTTGAATTAAAAACAAAACACCATTTATACCCAAACAAGTGTTATTTTTATCCTCTGCTATCCAACTTTCTCAACTGTCATCCTTGAACAACTGCAGAATGGAATATTCTTAGCTGCCACTTTGATCTAACCTTGTACACATGTAATCTAGGGTTGTAGTGTAAAACTGGAGACATTAAGCATTTCATGTTTAATGAATATGTGAGATAATACTAAAATTCTTCATCTGATTTTAAATTCAGACAGATGAATCTGTTTTTGTTTTCCTGGCTACAAAACATATTCTTGTTTCTTAAATCCTTGCTTTATCTCCAGAATGGGTTTAGAAGTGGAAACACCAAGCTCTCCCTTGAACTATTTTTCCAGTTACAGTTCCTATAGTCTACTGGAGTACAAACTGGTTGAACGGTGTTTTGCTACCTACTTCCTTGAGACAGAGTTACATTAATTCTTTAATGAGACTTAGCTATGCTTCTATGGACACTGTGTGTTGAACAAATAATAGAGCTAGCTCACTGTAGATTAAAAAGGAAACCTTTGCAGGGAGGAGACGATGAAAGCATTTATATGGGGGCTAGTTACAGCAACCAAAACATGAAGGGTATCAAATGCAGCTTAGACAATCTTAATTTGATTCTTTCTTTCTCTTTTAAGGCATTTATCTATACATTCATTGGAGATTGGACATGTATATATTACAATATCCAGCCTCCAAGTTTAATTGTTAATATATAGTTGTTTTCTATAACTAATTCCATCACATTCTGGGAAACCTATTCCAGTATGTTAGAGGCATAGGTTGGGCAAAGTGTTAATTAAAAAGTAAAAGCCAATTTGAGTGCAACTCTCTTTTGTGCAAATACACAATATAGTTCGAATTCACTTGTGGAACTGAGTAGTAGAAATCTGAGCCCCATAATTTCTATAGAAATGACTGAAATATAATTCATTTCATTTTACTGTATCCCTTGTTTAAAGGTCCATAATTTATATCTCATTCTCTCAGCAATGCACCATGATGATGGTGTTTTGG